ACCAGTTTTTTTTAAAGTCATGTGATATAGTTATAAGCATTCGTGTTATTATTTTTTGTGATATTCGAAAAATATAGATTTTGGTTTATCACTGTTATTGTATTTTATTCAATGTCCTTTTCAGATACGATATTGTGATACTTTCTCCCTATTACTTGAAGACCTATTTCTAAACATCCTTTATTTTGGGTTTGATTGTCTATATCTCCTTCTCTCTATTTTAATATATGATTTTTCTTCAGTCTTTTATCTATTCATTCATGTCTAAATTTTAACTTTTTTATCTATTTATGGGATCCCTACTTTTCTGGAAAAAGTAATTTATCTATTTATGGGATTCCTACTTTTCTGGAAAAAGTAATTCTACTTCGACACTAGGCACGGGGCTTGCATGCTGTCATGGCTGCAGTCTGGCAGTCCGGTTCCATTCCCCCTGACCTGTTGAGGGGCGTGGTCATCCCTCTCTGGACCGGGAAAGGGGATCGTTGGGACTGTTGCAACAACTACCGTGGCATCACATTGCTCAGTATACCAGGCAAGGTTTTCGCCCACACTCTTCTGAAACAGATCCGTGCCCACCTACTAAGACTGCTCGCATCCATCATCGACCTCAAGAAGGCGTTTTACTTGGTACACCGCGACTCGTTATGGGAGATCTTAACACTTAACACTTTGATCTTTCCACTCGTCTCACTATGCGTATCCCATTATCCTTTGACATTGTTTCATTACTCTGTTTAAGTTTTGTTGAGGTCTATCATATTTACATATATACAAAATGAGAGAAAAATGGAGATATAATGCGTTATTCATACATTTTTGCCATATGTTGTGTATCGATTTGTACATAAAAGTGTATATTAGTAACACTTTTCCTTTTCGATGTGGCTTTCCTAAAAATAATAGATTAATTGCACTATCATATTTCCGATACTGGTGAGTAATGTTCGACTTGCAATAAAGCAGGTTATAAAAATGGGGATCTCGAAATGCACACAAATGATATATGGGAAATAAACACATTTTAGAAGGTGGGAAATAAACACATTTTAGAAGGGCTATTAAGTCCTCTGTGCATACTACACACATCCCTTTATATTGTCAAAAAAGATAATCATTATAATAAGATAACAATAATAATAATGAGGCAAAATCAACATAATTTACATCAAATATTGAGTGCCGTAAAATTACCTCACTTCCGAGGTAAGCTCGTACGCCACGAAGTAGTATGGAGACAACCCGTAAAGTAAACACAACGGCAATTAGCCCAAATTCCGATATTTTGGTAAAACTGCCTCCCCCAACCCCAATAATGGATTCCATATCTGATCTAGATGAAGATACGTATAATTTTACCACGAAAATTTAAGCTTTGAGTGAGGACATATATATATATACAAATGGCTTCAATATAAGAAGGAAAAGACTGCACACCTTTAGAGAGGATCTTAAGGAATACTTAAATAAAAGTTGATGAATCATCACAATGATAATAATACTGATATGATTAGATATATTTTAGGTTAAGATAGAAATTTACCATATTTTAAACCTGGGAGGTTCAAGATATTTGGAATTATATAAGTAGTATTAGTATAGTGATGATGTATGAACTCCACAGATACATGCATACATGCAGGTATGTATATTGCAAGGTACCGACCTGTATATAAACATACATGCGGTATTAGTACCACGATGAATTTTGAAATTAGATCAAGGTATTGCATTAATGAATCATTAAACCATAATTGAATCTTCAAGTTATATTTAAATGAAATACTGTATAAATGCATGGATGATAATATCAAATATTTTTTTAATTATTGTATCTAGCAACATTATTCCCAATTCATTTTTGAAAAGCAAAATATATATCATATCAAAATATTGTAAACAATTCAGGCTTTATCATATGGCACTAAAATGGCATAGTTTGCAATCGCTTCACGTTCATAGAAAACAAATTGGAACGCTATCACAGAAAACTGTTAATTGGTATGGGGGTCTAATATATATGTGTGTGTGTGTGTGTGTGTGTGTGTGTGTGTGTGTGTGTGTGTGTGTGTGTGTGTGTGTGTGTGTGTGTGTGTGTGTGTGTGTGTGTGTGTGTGTGTTGTGTGTGTACTTACGGCGACGCACAGAGATAGAGGGAAATGGACAACGCCCTATTATAGAGCGGAGGAAATAGAATATGATGCAACCTAGTTTAAGCTGCAGCGGCCCCATATTCACCGCTAAATGATGAAAATATACCCGGCATATACCATTGTTTATCTTGCATAACTCATTACTGCGTTGATTCTGGGTCATTCATAAGATTATGCATTGTCAACGAAGAAGAAATAGATTTAAGTAACTATCCCAGTTTAATAGCAGAGCCCATCGTGTGCCCCAAATGCCCTAAATGCCGCCCAAAAAAGTTATTAAAATCGAAGCAATCCAGATGGTAGAAAGAAAACGAAAGTTTGAGTTTCCCAATATAGAAGTATTTTGT